ATGCGGACGTTCGTCGAAGAGAATTTGAATTTCAAGTTGATGATTGGGTGTTCTTGAGGGTATCTCCTATGAAGGGAGTCATGCGATTCGGGAAGAAAGGGAAGTTGAGTCCTAGGTATGTCGTGCCGTATCGGATCGCTCAAAGGATAGGGCAGGTGGCTTATGGGCTGGAATTGCCTCCTGAAATATCATTAGTGCACCCGGTGTTCCATGTGTCTATGTTAAAGAAAGTGGTTGGAGATCCATCCACCATCGTGCCAGTTGAGACTATCGAGGTTAATGAAAAGTTACCGTATGAAGAAGTTCCGGTTGCTATTCTTGATAGGCAAGTCCGTAAATTGAGAAATAAGGAAGTTGCTTCAGTTAAAGTATTATGGCGAAGTCAGCGAGTTGAGGAAGCCACATGTGAAGCGGAAAATGAAATGAAAGAGAAATATCCCCACCTGTTTGAACCAGTCTAAGTAGTGATCGTGCGAACTCCTATCTCTAAGCAAACTGATGTTGTGTTCAATTTGGTGCAAAGATACCCCATTTTCCTCTAAATGCTTTACAATTGTAACTCCTCAAGTTGTGCAAGAATTGTGTGTGTTGTGATTATTTGAGTCAGGTGCAACCCTTTTTTGGTAAATGAAAGTTTTGTCAAAACTCATGTGATAAGTGAATGATTAATAGTAGTGTAGATTGGTAATGATTAATTGAGATGCATATAGTGTATTGAAGTGGTTGAATTGTATGGGACTCATTGAAGTGACCAAATTATGTGCAAGAATGTGACAAGTAATTGAATATGTACAAGTGTTGAGGTAATGAATTGTACACCAGTTGTAGGGATAATTAGAATTGTGTAATGGTGCTTGGAAATATGTTTCGGGGGCTCTCTGACAGGTAGATAAGCCTAATTACAAAGGAAATTCTGGCAAAATTTTTCTAAAAATATGGGAGTTAGTGAAAATTTGGAGTTTACATATCATGTTTTTCAAAACCAACTAATTTTCAAGATCCTCATTCGAGGACGAATGATTTTAAGTGGGGGAGGATGTAAGGCCCCGTGAAAATTTGTGCCCAAAACCTAGTAGCTTGTAGTGTCAAGTTCCAGATATGTGTTAGGAATGTGTAAAATTCTTCGCGGCGAGCTTGCTCGCTGCGGTTCGGACCCTTTGTACTGATCTAAGCATTCAAAAATCAAAGAATCAAAGTTTTTCAGAAAAGTGCTATTTTGCGGTCCAGAATGCGGTCGCAAATCAAGTATGCGGACCGCATTTCTGCCACAGATTGAGTCAGTGGTTTGGTTAAAATTGAGGTCAAAATGCGGTCAATTATGCGATCGCATAACTGATATGCGGACCGTATTTCTATCGCAAAATGAGTCCATGTGCCAGTCAAATTTGAGGTCAAAAATGCGGTGCATTATGCGACCGCAAATCGTGTATGCGGACCGCATTTCCACCGCAAACCCAAACAGAATGTTCAGAGTTTTGGAGCACTTTTGCGGTCCATTATGCGGACCCCAGTTCCACTCTGCGATCGCAAAGTGACCGCAAACCTTACTCGGGCTCCTATTTTTTTTTAAATTTTAAACCCGACCCCCTTTTTAATAAAACACCACAATCCCTCATTTTAACATACTTTCTGAACAAAATAAGAGAGAGGGAAGAGAGGGTTTTTGAGAGAGAAAGTTCAATTTCACCAATTTGATTTTCAAAGTCACCTAGGCCCGGGGAAATTTCAAGTAATTGTCTTCATCTTCGTTCTTGCAGGTAAAAATCCCCAACCCTTTTTCATTTATTTTTAAATTTAAACAAAAAGGGGGATTCTCATGCATTGATTCTTGAAAATGGAAGTTGAAATACACATACATGTCTTTTAAGACCTAAAATCTAGTAAGAGGAATTGGGTAGAAGTAGAGGTTTGCAAAAGAGGGGTTGATAACCTAAATGAGTTCGGGTAGTAATTGTGAACTTCAATTCTAAGATTTATGTGTTAACTTGTGAACTAGATGGTCTATACTAGGCTATTGGTGAGCCGAAGTAGAAGTAAAAAGGGGAAATTCGATTCCAGGTATGTATGGCTAACTTTAACCTTTGTAAAGCCACCTTGTTTGGTGTACGAGTAATTGGTATGTGATACTTATGTGGACTATTTGTGAATTCTTGTGATTAATATGCCTTGGAAGTTGTTGGTTAAGTTTCCCAATATAATGGCGTGAGTAAATGGCAACAAGCCAAGTGTGTGTGTGTGTGTGTGTGTGTGTGTGTGTGTGTGTGAATGTGTTTATGTGGTAAGAGCTGTGTAACAAATGATGGAAAGAAATCGTAATTGATGCAATTGAAACAACTGTGGTAATATCATATGTGACTCGTCGTAGGCAATTATCGTTGTGACTTAAATTGTATAGGGGCTGTTATATATGATGGAAATGGTATTGAGGTCAATGAAAACTCATTGTGAAATTGTTATTGTTGTTGTGAAATGATATTCTGGATGGCCTGAAGCCATGTGATTGAACTGTGAACTAATGTTGTTGTGTGAAATGTGATTGTCCGGTGGGATCGGGTTGCGCGGCAACATGAAGTTATAAGGTGTGGGTTATGGTGATAAGGGTGGCTGAGGTAATAAGAGTGGCCGAGGTAATAAGGTGGAAAAGTGATCGAAATCACTATTGAAATGAACATATGTGAAAGTTGTGAAATCATTGATATGATGAAATGATGTTGGAAGGGAAAAAGGAGAGATTGTGAAACTTGTTTGACTTTGGTTGTTCCTTTTATGTGCATTTGATTGTTGATTCTATTACTGTACGTTACTTGTGTATTGTTTGAGTTTACTTGGGGTAAAGTTTGTTCATACATACCAGTACAATTCAAATGTACTGACGTCCTTTTTGCCGGGGGCGCTACATTCGTGTTATGATTGTAGGTGGATCTATAGCAGGTACTCCAGTTCACCGACAGTAGCACTCCTCCACTTTCCGTCAGCTGTATTGGTGAGCCCCTTTCCTTCCGGGGCCCTACGTGGCTCACGCCATTTTTTTTTCCGGAGTCTATTTTTGGTATTTGTGTAAGGTATAGCCGGAGCCTTGTTACCGGCAAGTATTGTAAAACTCTTTTGTATACCTAGAGGCTCCGTAGACAGGAAATGTGGGTTATGTACTTATGTATTTTGTATTTGGGCAGTAAAACTTGCAGACCACGTAAAGTAATCATGTATGTTATGTGTATTTCGTAAGAATGTGTTTAATCATAAATGGCTATTTCACTTGAATAATGGGTATTGAAATCATGGGGCAGCCCGTGGGTTAGAAAAGGCACCCAGGTCCGCTTGATTGGGGCTACCCGGTCGAGCGCCAGTCGTGCCCCTCGGTTTTGGGGCGTGACAATTATGAGCCTGTTTGGCCAAACCTCTGGAAGACCAAAAATATCTTTTTGTCAAAAATGTATTTTTTTAAAAATTTAAGATGTTTGGTCATGATGAAAAAGTGCATTTGAGTAGCACCACAAGTAATTTTTCTACTTTTGGGAAGAAACTACAAATTCTAGTTTCTTCTAAGAAGCAGAAAATTAATTTATCAAAAACAAAAATAATCTTACAATAAACTTATATTCTCCAATTTATCCCTCATTACTTGAACATTTTTCTTTTCCTGTTCCTTTTCCTTTTTATTTCTACTATACATTTTTTCTCTTTTCTATTTAATCATATCTTTGTTCTCTTTCTCCTATTCCTCTCTGGAATAGTATGATAAGAGTAGATTTTTAATTTATATTGGATGATGCATTTTGATATATTTCATTATTATGTAAATAATAAATAATATCTAATACTCAATGCTATTGTTTTGGAATAATTATATTTTATGTTATTAGAATCCTTAATTTACAAATACTTTATGTTTTATATTTTGATTCAATTTCTTTATTATAAATTTTTAAATTCATTTCTTATTTTAAGATAATACCAGTTGTAAACTGAATTTTTACAGTCCTTTTTCGTAATTTGATACTGTATTTTTTTGGAAAGATTGGTCAAGCACAATGTGCTTGCAAAAACCACAACTCAAATAAATTGCCAAACATAAATTGTACAGGTTTTGACAACTTGGTCAAACGGACTCTAAGCTAGCGTTTGACCATAGAATTCTAAATTTATTTTAAAAAACTTGATTTGGGTGAAGTTTGGTTTGTAAATGAATATTTGTTTGGACATAATTTTTTCTAAACATATTTTCTTTTTTTTGAAAAACAAGAAATGTAACTTATACCCATAAGTTTTAAAAACTATCAAAAATACCAAACAACTTTGAAGAGAATTCATACAAAACAATCGAAATAAATCTAAAGAAAATTCATACAAAACAAGCGAAACAAATCTGAAGAAAATTTATACAAATATCAGCAGATTTTAGCAAATTTCCTTCAAATTTATCTTTGTGGTACCACAGATTGGCACAACATTTTTAGCGAAGGTTTTCCTCAGTTTATAGAGAATGGCAAAATCGCATGAGTTTAATGAGGGAAAAGTGAGTAGATATGGATTAGTTGGGTCATAATAAGAGAGAGTGAACTTTTTTATAAAATACAAAAGTTTGGGACAATTTTAAATTTTTGTTTTTTAAAAAACCAAACAATAATATTTTGGTTTAACCGCTCTTGAACTGGTTTTCGATTTGGCTTTTGGGATTTGAATATTTGCCAAAATATGAATAAAATCTATAAATAAACAGGTATTTGTCAGAAAAAAAAAATATTGGGCAAAATCTATGACCTAACGGGACCTAAATTTGACTTTAAACGGTCGAATATTTTGAGCAATATTACTTTAAATTTTATGTTTGAAGTTCAAATGTATCCTAAATGGTTTAATTATTTAACTAATTTTCTGAAACAAATTATATTCCTACTAATCAACTTTCATAACTCATTACCTATCACCGATTCAGAAATTTGCTCAAATACATCGTTGAGTCCCCTAACTCTTAATTTATCATATGAAGATGAACCCCATTCAAGTAAATTTATCATCTATGTTTCATAATTCTTTCTTCCTTTCAATTAATCAAATAATAATAGGATATAAAAAGAAAAAATTAAACCTTTACAGTATCTTTCACTAAAGCTTTCTGCTATTGAGCGGGTAAAGTCTCGGGTCTCCAAAGAAAATCACCCGACCCAAAACCCAGCTCCGAATGATCAAACAGACCATCTAACACCACATATTCCCCAATAACATTAGCACTATATTGATCCGATTCAACAATTCCCAAATCAAACGGGTCATAACCCGGAATCTCCCCATCAAATCCCAGCAACTCGTTCCTGATTTCCGCCGACTCAGTACAAACTCGGGACAACTCAGTTTCTGACTCAGTTGGTGGAGGTAGCCCAAGCTCATCATCCGAAGCTTCCAGAAGATACCCTAACTCCGGCTGAGACTCCCCAGACTCCGACCAAACTCCGGCCATCGCCGGTTCCGGCGAAGTGATTTCATCTTCAAAGCTTTTCATGAACGAGTCGAGATCATGACTCGAACTGCAAAACTCGGAGGGATCGTATAAATCGTCCAACAGATCTTCTCTGAGTCGCTTTACCTCCGGCGAGTTGATCTCTAACTCGGCCGAGTTATCTCGAACTCGTTTTTTTGAACTCAGTTGATCCATTTTTAAAAATATAGAAAATGGGAAAAATGAATTTAAGAGAATTTATAGAAATTTAGAAGACAGAAATTACGTTGGATCATGGATGGGAGAGGGGAAGAGAAATGGAGAAGGTTTATATAGTGGGAGGGACAAAGGTGGGGAAGAGTAAGTAATGATGATGATATTGGCACGTGAGTGGGGTCCACTTGGACATGGGCGTCTTGACCTTTTTTTAATTTATTTCTAAAAATTGTTTCTTCTTCTTTATATTACTTAAACGTGTCCATGATGTGTTTCTGAATTTTTCTAAAGTAGCATGGATTTGAGAATTAATATATTTTTTTACCAAATCGCAAAAAAAAAAAAGAGAATTAATATATTCAATGCGAGGAGCCGTCCGAACCCGATATAAATACAAAATGCCTAGCATTTCGAGCTATTCTTTTTAGGAGTTGATACTTGTGATAGAATGGTTAAAAAACATGTGACCCTCAATAAAAAAGATCGAATTCAAACATAATTTATAATTTTCTTTCTGCAAGTGTATTGGACCTTGTTAATATGGAAAATCATTGAATAGAAATCAATAAAAAAAAAGTTACACAAGCATCCTAGCTTTTTGTATTCATATTTTGAAGTATTAATCTTTTTTACGTTTTTGTTCGAATGAGTTCATGTCGTGCTTTTTTCTTTCTTTGTACTGTAAGTGTTATATAATCAAAATTTATTAGCTTAACTAATTTAATCACGTTAGATAAGCTAATAAGGAGGACATATTTAAAGTTCTTCACCAAATTAGATATTTTATGTATATGTTTTCTAAAATTAAACCCTATATTCCAAAAAGTTTGAATGGTGCACTTAGTTGAGTATTGAATTATTTTTCAAAAGAACAAGGATCAATTACCACGTAATATAATTTATTAGTTTTTCTAAGGACCCGTTTGTCCATAAAAAAAATTTTATTTTTTCCGATTTTTTTCTCAAAAATGTGCTTGTCCGTGACATTTGTAATTTTTTGAAAAAAAAAATCGAAAATGAGTTTCTCAAAAGATCACTTTTTCAAAATTTTCAAAAAAAAAAAGAAAAAGAAAATTGTTCACTCACAAAAGTGCAATATTTTTTTCATGTGAAATATATGTTCAAACACAATTTTCAAATATTATTTTTCAACTTAACTTCAAAAATTAATTTTTTCAAAAATTATAATTTTTATGTGCAAACGCCTACTAAAGTGAAAAGACTAAAGAAGTGTGAATTTGAGAATTAAGTATTAAGTATTAATGTGGTTAACTCGTTTTAATTTTCAGATTTGGAGTCCGGAGTGGGACTCACACCATAGTCAATCACGGCCTCTTTCGTTAGCTTTTAATTGTTTTTTTTATTTTTAGGTTAGATGAGTGATTGAGAAATCTGTCTATATTTTGTGGTGAAAGTAAAAGATTTCCTTTTTTTCATCATCTTATATTCGAAATTTATTTGCCGATAATTTATATTTATGTTATAGATCCACTTACAGAGAAATTGCATCCTATGAAGAAATTCAAATTCTCCATTATATTTAAAGGATGCGAACCATATTAAAAGTGGAGAAATTAAATTTATCCCACCATATCCCTTAATGATAAAAAAGTGTTTTTCAAGCATTTATTAATTGATTTTTATCAATTGTTTACTCTTTTAACTGTACAGCTTTTTGGTGGTTTTAGGTTTTATTTATTTATATTTATGTTGGGGTCATATAAAGTTGGTTGATTAATCTTAGTCAGCTAAATATACCTTTTATCAGCTGTAGGTTATACCATTCACATTCAAATAATTGAAAAATCTCTTATCCCTTGCTTTTTACGGTCATCCAAAAATAAATAAAAAAGTTAAAGAACTTGTTAGAATATAATCACGTAAAATTTTATGTCTAGATAAAGAAAAGTTAGGTAATCACATAAAATTACACGAGAGGAATATATGACTATTTTTTAAATAAAAAAATAAAGGTTTGCAGTAGGTCGCCGGTACGACACGCGCCTTACCGTTAGCCAAAATTTTTTACAGTCGTGGGAGAAACTAAGATCCAAGACAGCTAATAAATTCCTCTGGTAATATGCTTCAGCCTCCCTTATTTAAAAAAAATGCTTCTAGCATCTTCTTCTTTTATTGATTGGGTTTACTCATTCGATGTCCGATACTTGTATCGGAGTTCGACCAGAGGCATACGTAGAAATTTTTGTAAACGGTGTCGAAAGAAAAACTAGAATATAAGTTTGATTATCATACTTTTAGACAAGAAATACCCTTAGTTTATATGTTTTGTTGAGTCTTAAGTTAGAAAAGGTTCTGAGTTCAATCCCACTTTATCACAATTTTTAACCACAAAGTCTCTCTCAAATATTTACAAAAGAAAAATGTGCTAGTTAAGGTTCAAACATTTACCTCTTAGAGCAAAATCAAGCATATAACCAACACACCAAGACACATTTATGTTAAGTGATGTCTTTTTTTTCTACTTATTCGTTTTAGTACAGTATTAATACATATATTTAGTAAAATTTATCGACGAAGAGGTGTCGCGCGACACCGCTTCGGTAAGCGTGCATCCGCCCCTGAGACCAATTATATTCAGATTCTCGTCGCATAAGACTCACCTAACATGATTTTTTTATACTCAAAGTTCGAACCCGAGACTTCTAGTTAAGGATGAAGGAATTCTATTCATCCCAGTACAATCCATGTCGATGCTCCTAGCATCTTCTCTAGCAAGTAACACGATAAGGTCCAAATTAAATACTAACATGCGTGCAAGAACATAAAGGCACCGTCCTTTTCAACAGTTTAAGGACAAAATATTAGAAACTCTTTGAACAAACAACTTGGGCAACTTTTGACAAAATTGGAGTTATACACGAGACATGTCCCAAAATATAAGCCGGTGCGTAAATATTATACTCAGCATTCTTTCAAGACAAATATAAGTTTGTATACTTTTTCATACTCCAAGTAGTCGTTTATACAAATTACGTGAGATGTTAAATATTTTATAATTAAGGCTATTTAATATTTTCCTTAAGGATATACAAAGTCATAAAAAGACAAGACACAGAGGTAGTATAAAAATACATTTTTGGTTCATTGTACATACACACGAGAAAGATTCAGAATTTTGAGTGTGGGGCATCCTACCTTTGTACTCAATACATTTCAAGACAAAAATTGGTGAACTTAATATAAATAAAAGTTTTCATAAGGAATTCAACTTACCTGTCTCTCTATATGTGGTTAAATTATATACTTTGTTATTGTTAGGAATTTTTGTACCACTAAGTCATCTTTATTTTTTTCAGCAGGTAATCAGGGATGAAGCTAGTCTTTCGATTGCAGGTATTGACCGAACTTAGTAGATTTGGTTAAAATCTTGTATTTATTTTAAAATTTCATTGAATATATAAGAATTATTAATTAAAATCCCAATAATTCAAAAGGACTAGAATTCCAAACTTATAAGCTTCAAAATCAGCTTCTGCAGGTAATAAGTTTTATTTTTAAGATTAAAAATCTCATATTTTACGGAGGCTTGTAGAAATTATTTCAGTGATATGATGATATAAAAATAATTTTACACTAACGATATGTATATATAGTTTGAGAATGAGACTGCCCGTACACTAGGGGTGGGCATTCGGTATTTCGGTCGATATTTAATAATTTCGGTATTCGGTTTATCGATTGTGTATACCAAATACCGTATCAAAGTATTTCGGTACGGTTCGGTATTTATTATTTTGGTTCGGTACGGTTTCGATTTAATATTCGGTGATAAAGAACAACGAAATGCTAATAAAACGAACAACAAATTGCTGTTTCTAAACTTTAACATTGCACTAAAAAAGTAAAAATAGATTGCTGGCCTAAAACTTTAACATGGCACTAATCTAAAACACTTGAATTTGTTAATACCAACTACAACTAGTACCAAAAGTCCAAAATACCAACGGTAAATGCAGCAGAAAAGAACAAACAAACAAACTTTAACATTCTGCTATCTGGGACAGCATTGTAGCAGCTCCAAAATGCAGCTCAACAGGCTAAAATACAATCAGCCTCCAAAATACAAACAAGAAATGCAGCTCAACAAACAAGAAATACAGCACTGTAGCAGAACCAAACATCTGAAACATAACAGTTACAGAACAAATTAGCTCTCCAACATCTGAAAACAGAACAAAACAGAACAGTTACAGACGGGAGCGTAATTTTTATACATTTCACTATTTCAGTGGCAGATTCAAGACATTTATTAAGGAAACTCAAAATATAAAAATATGGAGAAATAAACATACAAAGAGCCCTTGACTTGTGCCAAAGAGGATTTCAAGTTCAAGATAGAGAGAATTGAAGAAACCCCAGAAATTAAAATCAAATCTTTATCGGCTGGTCTCAATGAACAGTAGAGAAGAGTGACCACACAGAAAACAAAGTTCAAAACTTAAAAATAGAGACTAGATTTACAAAATATAGAAAGAAACCTCAAACAATCACAGAATAAAGATCATGAAATCTTTATATACACAATAATTTTTCGACGAAAAAAATTCATATGATCCTGGCCGAAGCGTTGAGCTTCGAAATAAAGGAGACTTATTTTTGAGAGAGCTTCTGCGTAATCTAATGATTGAGTGAGGAGTGAGGAGAGAGGAGTCGGAATCACCAACGCCAGACGCCTAGATCGGAGACGGAAATGGTGACTCAGTGACTGTGAGAGACTGAGAGAGAGTGAGACAGAAACTCGGCGTTGCTATTGCTAATGGCCTAACCTAATGAGTAATGCCCTAATCTTTAGAGTGGGCATGGTCAGTTGGGCTTGGGGCGACGGGCTGGGGCGATGGGAAATGTGAATTAAATTAGAAACTTGGGGTTGAGCATTGTGATATAGGGTCCAAAAAAATGTCTTTAAAATTTCGGTATTTCGGTATACCGAAATTTCAAAATTATAATACCGAGAACCATACCGAAATACCGAAAATGCGATATCGAATTAGACCGAAATACCGAATTAATTCGGTCCGGTTCGGAATTCGATTTTTCGGATTTTATGCCCACCCCTAGGGACAGCACTGTAGCAA